GGTTCAAATTTTAAGAGGTTATCCAAGTAACAATTTTGGTGTTATGAGGGTTCTGTAGATCATGATTTAGACTTGTAGAATGCTATAAATCCTCGATAAAACCTGCAATGTTACTTGGGTAGTTAGGATCCGATTTGGAATCGTGGAGCGAAAATTTCAAATTTTGCATCACTCTACTGTTCATCCAGCAACCAAACGTTTGTGGTCAAATGTCTAACAGTATTGAAGTGGTACATACAAAATCTCGCAATGAGCGAATACCACATGACCTTGTAAATTAACCAGAAACACTTCGAATTTATATGATTGATCGTAAATATGTTGCGAATGGAAAATTTTAGCAAAAAATTCCTCCAATTTTCGTTTTGTTATTATCTATTGAATAAACAAAAAAATTCCGTACGTTTTGTACACAAAAGTGGTTTCCCTAACACAGTCGCCGAATATTGATATCGAGCATGTAGTCCTTGTTGTGTCATACGCTATATTTTGCAGAGTAGATGTTATTTGATATGCCGCTTGATATGGTTATGAGAGATATCAAATATGACCATAAGGCATCATAATCCGGAATATCCGGAATCTTTTCTACGGTGGCCATATGGCTCTATGGTTGTAATTTTGAGTGCCATTGGTCATATTTCATCGAGTAGATTTGATTTGATATTTCGCATGATAAGGCTATGATAGATGATAAATTTGACCATATGGAACCATAATCCGGAACATCCGGGATCGATTCCAAGGTAGACATGGGTTCTTATGATTGTTCTCTATTATTTTCTCGAGTACCGAAAAAATAAAAAAAAATCAATATGTTGTCGCAATGATAATTAAGATATATATTTTTTTATATCTTCATTAATGAGACTTTCAGACCTGGGCTGGTTCGTCTCCGCAGTAAGATATGTGATAAAGATTGAAAAAAAAACAGCCCCGTGCCAACACATCCTTGAATATATAACAAAGAGGGAGGGGCTTAAGAGGGAGTTCCACCCAACAGATGTAAGAACCGCACACCGGAATGATGTTAAAAATATTTCAATTTAACCGGCCATGGCATTTCTGAGATACACATTTTTGAAAATAAAAAAATTGTCCCGGGCTTTTACGGGTTAACAGAGCTCATAGTAATATCGGCTTTTTTTCGTTGATGTGATAGTATTGTCAATTATTTTGAAATTTGATGGAAGTTATGATTGTTGTTGTACCGTTACATTTCGAAAACATGGACATAAATCAACTCGAAGTGAATCCAAACAAAAAACAAGCCAAACAGCTTCAAAATGCGCCGAAGATTTCCGTTTCGCAGCAAAACAAACGCAATAACTCGATATATCGCATACCCTTACGTCTGCGCTAATCGTGAATTCATACCTCGCAGAGGATGTCTCACCGTTTTTGGGAGGGAAAGAATTTCCATTTTTCGTTCGTGCCACTCATCTTCATCATCGTGAGAAGTCAGCTTTCTTTTTCCTCCTCCGCCGGGCCAAATTCAAATTTGCTGTTCGCTGCGTTAGGACCGTTCCGCTCCGGTGGTGGCTAAGCTCGAATCCATTCGGGGCCGAATTTCGCCTCAGTCAACGGAGAAGCATTTGCTGGAGTTTCAACAAAATTGCAGATTATCCATCGGAATCAAAATGAATGGTAATGGCATGCCGATGGCAAACTATTTGTTCGACTTCTCAGAGGCCCTTTAATACTTTGATATTATTACCTTCGATTGAGTATAAAAAAGGATTTGGTGCTTCTCCGGTGTCATTATATGCCGGCTATGGCTGGTGGCCCTCATATCAGTTGCTGCCCACAGAATCTGATCAGACCGAGTCAAACCAACCAGCAGAGTCTGGCAATGAAAAACAACAGATAATAGCATTCCGCTTGGGTTGTTTGTTGGAGCAGAAGCGGCAGACAACGGGAGTGTATGGCATTAATGAAAATTCTGCTGACCGAGTTCCTAGCAGCCATGGAACCCAACGACGACGAGCGAGAGAAGATTGAGAAAATACCAAAAAAAAACTGGATTTCGAGCCACGCCATCATCGGTTCAGTTCAGGCTTCCTAAGTTTTCCCATTTGGTTCGGTTCGGATCGGTTGGGGAAAAGACTGAAATGCAATAAACATTTCCTCCCAACCTCCGGAACAGTCCACAGTTCTGGCGGGTCAGAAAAAGCAGCTCTGCTCTGCTACTAAGAGAGCTCTGGTGTGGTTATGATGTAATATGTGGGAATATATTGGCTGCCACTCGCTCGCTTTCTCCCCACATGGGACTGTTCCAAGGACTGTTCATAAGCTCGTATAAATTTATTAGTTTTTCGTCTAGTCTAGGTTTAGAGGTTTGTTGATCTTGCTAGGGTAAGGAATAAATTTTGTCCTTATCAGCATGTTTGGCATAATTAAAGGTGCTGTTTTTGGTTTTGACTGGCTTTCATGTCGCTTGGAATTTCAAATATTTAATTTATATTTAAATCGTAGCTGTCGAGATATGACTAACGTCGACGGAAATACAGCCATGCAGACTGTCACATACCTGTTGGGAAGGTTAGGGAAACATCTGCAGAAGCGTGCTCGGTGAATTCATTCTCAAGTACCGTTGTATGTTTTATCGAGGTTTTGAAGCATACTACAGGTCTAAATCGTGGTATATAGAACCCTCATAAAACCCAAATTGTTACTTGAGATTGTGATTCGTATAGATCTGTAAACAATCCTCCAAGGTTCAATCGATTCAGTCTGAACCATTGACCTGATATCTGGTATGGGTGTACTTTAGAGTGGCTCAAATCAGGTCAATCCTGGAATTTCAAACGCACATTGTATGGAGGATCCTGCTTGGATCCTCAAAAAACCCAGCAGAATCTTTCTACTATTTCTCTCCCAACAACCAAATACATGTCCAAGTCCCAAAATTTAATACTTCTAAATCTATTCCTTCCAATCCTAATGAATTGATTTCTCAAATTCCTTTGAAATAATTACGAGATTAAATTTCATGAATCATAAACCTTATTTTTCGATAACCAATAAAAAACTACAAGGGACAGCCATATGGGGTTGTACGCAATGGTGACGTAGGACTACATGGTATTATATAATAAATGGTAATGTGTATCTTTATTGAGCCAGGTATTAATCTGAACCATATTTTAATTATTTTCCTTACCTCATTTTAATATTTTGATTTTCTGTTCTATTTACTATCGTACAGATTTGTCGTACAAGCAGAAGCAATACTTTTGTGCACGGAATCTGACGAAATATTACTTGGAGCCAATGCCCATGATTGTGCTGGGTAATTTTAACATGGACCTCATGAACGAAGGGAGCTTCGTCGAGTTCATAACGAAATATTTGCACCTGGACATGGATCGTGAGTGGACTTAATTTTCGTTCGAAACGTTCGGCTTGACAGTAAAAAGTATAACTCTTACACGTTAAACCATCGCCCAGTTTTGTCACTTTTCGAGTTCTAGGTCTTAACTCAGGGCGTTTATTATCGTTGCCAATCTGTACCGTACCGGAGTGTGAGCCAACTGCAAAGTCATGCTGTGTTCATCAGAACTCATCTGACAAATCAAACGGCCCTTTTCAGGGTCACAAAAATTTTCTGGCTATTTGAATTTCTATCTTCTCAATGCAATAAGACAGTTCTGTGTCAACCATATAGTTCACCATAAATACTTCTTTGCACGGCTACGCTGGACACGGGTTGACCCGGTGGTTGGAAAGGCAGCGCTAGCCTTCATCGCTACGAGAAATGGGCACTCAGTGTGCCCAGTTGCTTCAGGATTAGAAGCTTGGTTGCTACCATTTTGCTGGTTCCAGGAATTTCATTCATGTCAAGATTAGTAGAATTCCTAAACAATCTCTTTTGAAAATAGTTGGTGGCCCTGAACAGGGTCGTTTTGGATAGGGAAAATGAACGAAGCTTAACCTCAGGTGCGTCCCTGACGCTTCAGGTAACAGCGCCACGAATGACGTTTTCCAGCAACACATTACCTTGAGCACACTAGGGTTTTAGATCAGACCGGAGATTCGCTTGACATCACCACGACCAGCCAGACGATGGACGGCGGACTTGGTAATACCAACCGGTGGAAACTAACGATTTTAAATTGGCTCACTGCTTGACTAGCCTATTGGTCCCAAGCAAATCCATTAACGTACCCCATTCTAGTCAAAATTCTAGTACTGCACAATGTTTGTTTTGATTTGCCATGAAAGTTTGACAGATAAAATGAGGGGTTCGTGGATTTTCCTATGTTTCGAGGGGTGCATCGATTAGCTTGGGACCGAAAAAAGTACCAGAGCTGAGCCAAGACTTCGGGACCTTCCGGTCTTAGAGCTAACCCCTATGGATGTACGTTCTCGTAACGAACAGATGTATCGTAGACAGAAGGCCGTAGCACGCATCAAATTGTTGCAAAAGTCGACCTGCACGACTAGCGGTACTTTGCGATTTTCATCGACAGGCAATATGCCTCCAGTAGTTCACGTCGATTGTGTGCTGGATTTGAGCCACTCGATTTGCTACGAATGCCTTCCAACGACTAGGCGATGACTGTAGCCATTGAAGAACGGTGGTGAAATCCGTCCAGAAAAAAGCAGTGGCAGATATCTTCACGGCAGCATTCACCTTCTTGTAGAGCTGCGTCGATAATCGTGCAGTGCAGAGTTCTAGCTGGGCTATCGAATGCCGACCTTGGATTTGGCCGTCAGAAGTTGAATAGAAACACCGCCACGCACCTAACAGCAGGTCCCATACGCTCCCTTGGAGGCGTCGGTGAAGAAGTGAAACTGAATGCTAATAGCGTTAGACAGAGTGCGACGAATCTTGGAACACGAATTTCACTCAGTAAATGTAGAGTAGCAAAGAAATCCTTCCAATCTTCTTACAGCTTGCGGGGGAGTGCAGTATCCCATTCGCAATCTTCACCATTCTGCTTCAAGGTCCACAAACGCTACATAAACAGTTTGACGTCAATGATCGTAGGACCCACGAGACCAAGCGGGTCGACGATTTGAGCGATGTAGGAAGTCATCTTACATTTCGTCAGGACCGCAGCAGAAAGTGGTAGCTGGACCTTAACCCGAAGTACGTCGTTCGATGGTTCCCAGATGAGACCGGGAGTTGGAACTGCTTGCTCATCTTGTAGATCATGTAGAGGTTTGAGGGCCAGATCTTCCGGTGGAACGTGCTGGGGAACCATGAGAATATTTGATGCCAACTTCTTGATTGGAAGTCCAGCTGTACTGAGCATCTATCAATCACCTGCTTGCGAAGCTGGATGGTAGATTCTACATCGTCGGCACCAGACAGAAAATCGTCGATGTAGAAATCGTGGATGACCGCTTCTACAGCAGCTGCAAGTTGGTATCCATTATCCAAAGCGATCTGCTGCAGAGTCCTAGTGGCCAAGAACGGAGCAGACGCAGTATCATTGGTGATTGTCTGCAGTTCATAGGTGAAAACCAGATCGGTGGGCGTCGCCCTGAAGCGGATTCGCAGGAATCTTCGGTTGATGGCAAAATGAAGCATTTTGCGATACATTTTCTCCACGTCGGCAGCCATAGCAACGAAGCGAAAGCGTAACTCAGCACTAGTACTTGAAGATCTACCTTGAACGACCGGGCCAACCAATAACGTGTCATTCAGTGAATATCCCTATGATGTCTTGCACGACGCGTCGCATAGGACCCTGACCTTCATTGTTGTACTCGACTCCTTTAAGACAGGGTGGTGCGGGATGTAGCAATAAGTAATGTCATCGTTTACCCGTTCGTCATGCTTCTTCATGTGTCCTAGTTCGAGGTACTCGTCCATGAAGCAGTGATACGCATCCTTGGTAGTGGGACCACGTTCGAGCCGGGAGCTTCCTAGGACAACTTCGGGACTGTCGGTTCTAAGAAGACGGACGATCTACCTCCCAAATGGATCACGAGTAGTGGTCACTGCGTAGTGATGTTCCCAGCAATTTTGTTCGACAGATAGTGGTGGAGTGCGGTTTCTAGATGGTCGTCTTTCGTTGAAAAATTGCTGATCCGAAGAATGCATTTTGACTGATTGGATGCTTTCCCAGCGACAGCCCATCCGAATGGTGTTTCAGCCAACAATGGAAGATCATTTCCTAATGACATCTTCCGACCAGGTTGACGTTCCCAGAAGGCTTCACTACTGATAAAGAGGTCTATCCTTCCTGGGACGTTGAACCGTAGATCTACAAGTGCAGCTTCGGACAAATTCCACGACGAAATGCTGATCGGCATTGTCGGTAGCTCTGCCGACGGATTCTTCAGGATGAGAAACTCTAGCTTTGTGGAGAATTCCTGCATTCTCGATTGGACCGTTGCGGTGACTGAACTTTTCACGTTCTGTGTAGAGATACCGATTTCTGCTATGGATATGCCCACCTTTGACCGAGGATTGAATAACCGCTTCGGCCGCGGTTACGAAATGAAGTTGGACTTAGAAGCCGAGTCCAGTAGCCAGTAGCTAAATGTAGGTATTTTTATAACAATCGCTTTCAATTTCACAGGGAACCAATGATTTTCAATATTGGAAACATTTAACCACAGACAAACAGACATAACACATTGACTGTTTCTCACTGTAAAACATCGTTGCTAAAACATTACCACCATCTGTTGAGTACTCTGTGATGGGTAGTTCGCTGAACAGATAGCGGTAGTGTGTAAACGTCAAATGCAAGGGAATTGACTACCGACTACGTTACTTTTAAGTTGTCCGTTAAATGCTTGTTCGATGAACAACTGAAATACTATCAAGATTTCTACGGGATTACTGAAAACGCAAGTCATTTCGATCCATTTCACCCCGGTGATCAATTTGCCCCTGGATTACGGTACACCCTAATGCAATTCTTTTAAATTGCTCTAAAATGAGATAGAAAAATGTGTATTTTACAAAGTTGCTTGAAACTAATTAGCTACAACTCTGCATTATGTTTAGAAAAAGAAAAGTTAGTTTTTGAACATCCATTAATTTGAGGTCCACCCTTTTGTTTACAACCATAAAAAAGTGACTTTTCAAGCACAAAAACTTCACCAAATGACCACGTTTTAGACTTGAAGAATGCTTTAAGACCTTTATAAACTTTTACCGAAATTGATAATAACTCTTTTCTATTACCGCTTGAACCCAGAAGGCGTGCCCCGACAAAATAGAAGCCACAGAACATCGAATCTGAAACGAACAAGGCATTTCTATAAACACACAGAGCTTCCAGAAATCCAACACAACCCACCATCCATCTTGGACATGACTCAATCCTCTCGGATCATCCCTGAGGACCTGCTTCCGCTAGTACCACTACTATTGTTAAAGCGGAGCTACATTTCCAACAACCCGGAGACAATGAGTATGTGTGCACCTAAAGCGGTTCTCCAGGTCCATTTCACCTTCATCTTGTTCCCTGGCAGCGTACTGCTACATGCTACATACGTACTCTTCCACCATTATTGTTTCTGCGCCACCCAAGCACTGGTCGCTCGTTGCATTATGTCAGACGGTCTCCCATGCTGGATGGTGTAGCTTTTAATTGGTTACAATTACCTTCAAGCTCGGGGTCGGGTTGTTAGTCTCGTTTCTAGGAGATTCTCATTCACCACTTAAACGAGTGTCAGTTGCAGAAAGCTTCGTATCCAGAGCTTTTGTTGCATTCTAAACAGAGGGATCGGGCAAAGGATCCAATAATGAGGATTTTCAGAAGGAAATTTCCGCGCTTTTGATGCCCGAGTGGTGATTACCGTCGCTGCGAGCACTAATGTCATTACCATTTTCCTGCCAATTTGCTTTCCACTGGGCTCCGAAATGGTGTCTCACTCGACGAAGGTTCATTCTCAAAAATGTTTGAGGCATTTTGAACAGTTTACCTTCCATGGGAAAGTGATGCCTGTTACAGCTGACAACCTTTGAGCTGAAAACGAAAACCATGGCACCACTCGTTCTCCCATCATCGTCAACCTACCCTATTATGACACAATCAACGATGTCATTATGATTGTTACCAGCCCAGCAATGGAGAAGGAGCTAGTCGTTCACTACAGAAGCCATCAACCCGAAGACAGCGCACGGTAAGGTTGGTGCCAGGACCGAGATCGGAAAAATATAATTATCGTCTTCTCTGCGTCGTTCAATCAACACGCCGACCAACCGGGCCCGGGCAAAAAGTGTAACTTTGTCGTCGATTCGATGGCTCTTGTCCTGATCCTCCAGCGAAGTAAGGTCGTTGTCATAACCTTGACGGCGAAATGATTACACCTGAGGGGGTTGGGGTTGATTACTCCTCGACGCTGCCCTGGTTTGGAAAGGTATCCAAAAATAGAAGAATAGATACCTACTTTCTGCGCTCTACGGTCTGGCAGCTTCCTTCCTGGAACAAATCAATGGCCAAACAGAGAGAATCGGTATCGCTTGGGGTGTGTCTGATTTGATTAACTTTTCAGCCGACTGCCGACCTGTGCCGGCAGGACTAATGAGAGCGTTTAATGGAAAGGGGAAATATTGCAACTTTGCCTCGGATCGGTTGGAGTATTGCAACGATGCTGTTAAGGTGTTTGCTTGTAGAGTTATTTATTCCATCGCACCTCGCAATTTCAAGAGCACACAACTCAAGATCTACGAGATTTCATCTGCAAATTTCAGACATTGCTTGCTTCTCCGCAGCAATTCCGTGTGTTTTGTGCACGAAAATGTGTATTTTGTCATCAGAAAACGAGGCGTTTCCCTGATGGGAAAAAGTGGTTTCCCTAACACGGTCACCGAATATTGAAACAGAGCACTGAGCATGACAGCCGGTACCTATCTTTATGCATTTTGATGTAAATTTTAAGCGCCTCCTATTAAGGTGAAAGTGGATCAGTTTAGAATGACTCACTTCATCGATTTTTTACAAAATAACGCAACGCTCAATCGAAAAAACTATTCCGTGCAAAATTAAAGAACTAAAATTGCTATCACTAGCATTTTTACAAAATTAATTTATTGTTTAAATTTTCTGAAAACCATTTTCTAAGTTCAATTTTAGGACCACAATCATAGTGGTCGATAACTTAGCTCGTCAGTTACACAAGTATTTTGTATGAAAGTGTCAACTAGCTTTTGCATGGATCTGTGCGTAAGCATGATCCAGGTCCCAGGCGAGTAAGAGAGGTGCCACAGTTGGAAGGAGTGTTAGTTTGTTTACTAAAATGAATCGCCCATTTTGTTATGGCAAGTTATGCTATAAGAAATGCTCCTCGTGTTTATTAGCGAAATTCACATCAAAGATTGATTAATTGCGTAGGAAATCAGTTTGGCACGGCATTTGTAACCAGCATACACCTTCCGGTCGTATGAAACAGGTCAAAAACTGTCCAAATCCGCAGATAAAAATTTTTGTTTTGAATTTCTGTATAGCAAAATAGTGAACTTTTCGAGAACATTAACGGCAAAGAACTCACCAACACTGGGAGACCTGAGTTCCTGTCCACCTGTCATAAAACCGCCTTGATCCAGGTCAGGGTTCTGCATTTTTGAAACAAAGAAAAGAGAATGATCTCCGCAGAATCGCTTTATTTCGAGCAATATCATTTTGGTGTAAGTCATCGTGTTTCTTGTTATCGAGTCACGATGAACATTCCTCTTTTCAAACATGACAGGACTATCACTTGTTTCGTTCATCGAGTGCTTCAGTTCATTTCACGCAATGAATGACTCCAAAACTGCTTCCTTCGTTTTTCCACGTTCACTTCAATTATATTTATATGTAGTAATTGTAGTAATTAATTATATATTATTTTATATTAAACGAAAATTAAATTAACGAGGCCATTCTGAAGTCCGAGATGGCAGCCATCGGGGTCAGGGAAAGTCTCAAATACCCCGCAATATGGGTATTTTCGGAACGGGGACGACACGAAGGTGCCGAAAATCGATATTCGACGTTATTTTGGAATCCAAAATGGCGGCCATCGGGTTTCAGAAAAAGTGTTAAATACCCTACAATAGGGTATTTTCGGAACGGGGATGCCACGTAGATGCTGAAAATCGATACCCGACGCCATTTTGAATTTCAAGATAATGGCCATTGGTTTCATGAAGTGTCCAATACCCTAAGATATGGATATTTTCGGAACGACAACAACGTGTAGATGCCAAAAATCGATATCCGACGCTATGTTTTAATCCAAAATAGCGGCCATCAGGATTCAGAGAGTGTCAACTATCCTACAATATGGGTATTTTCGGAACGAGGACGACGCGTAGATGCCGACAATCGATATTTGACGCCATTTTGGAATCCAAGATGGTGGCCATCAAGTTTCATAAAACGTGCCAAATACCTTAAGATATGGGTATTTTCGGAACAGGGACAACGCGTAGATGCCAAAAATCGATATCAGATACCATTTTGGAATCCAATATGGCGGCTATCAGGTTTCAGAAAGTGTCAAATACCCTACAATATGGGTATTTTCGGAATGGGGACAACGTGTGGATGCCGAAAATCGATATCCAATGCCATTTTGGAATCCAATATGGCAGCCATCGGGTTTCACAAAAAATGTCAA